AGAATCAGTACTGAAAGTATTGTCGAAGGGTTCATGTGCACTTTAAGTCTTTCAATCCTAAATCCCGAATTATCAATGAGTATGAGAAGCCATTTCAAAGCCTCAAATCGGACTGGACGGGATTTCAAGTCCGCGCAATTAGTTCCAGTCCAAGGCCAGTCCAGTCCTCATTGTCGGCTTTGAAATATTACGTAAAGTACAACGGTCCATCGGGATAGTAATCCAAGCCATACAGCTATACCAGCTGGCCAGTAGACTTTCTGCAACAGTTGTCTGCAGAAACCTGTTGAGCCATTATACCTTCAAATTCCCTTTATCAAATCACCTTTACCAAGTCATTTGTTATGAAAAGCACTACCGACAAACAGTTATCTTACTTTGTTCATCACCAGACGACTCTGATGAATCAGTTAATATAACAGGCGATGGGTTACGGTTTTCTTCATCGGATGAAGACTCAGGATTTGTAGTACTATGTCCTAAAATAATAAAGCCATTCTCTGTTAGCAACAAAGATTCCCAACGTCAACAAAAATGAATTTAAAGCCAAGGTGCGCTATACGTTACCTGACTTTTCTGGCGTTTCCCACATTTTTCTTGCTTTTTCTACAATTAGATTAAAAGATCATGAATGTCCTACCCTTCAAATATCGAAGCAACAATAAGAAAAATTTTGAAATAAAAGCTTGTCCCGATATGGAATATTGAGACAAATGGAAGAGTAGCACGAGCAACAACAACAACAATGCCTTTCCCATTTCCACCCAAAAAATAACCAGTTTACATTCTTTTTTCAGGGGCGGATCCAGGGGGAGGGTTGTGGGTGCTGCAAACCCCATGAGAATTTGGACTTCTTCTTAAACAGAATGTACAGTGCGGTACTTTTTTGGTTAGGTGTCTTTTAAAGGTGGATGCCCCTTGAACGCAAAACTCCATTTTTAAGAAAATTCTGGATCCTTTACTGTTATTCTGAAAATATTTTGGCTAAAACACTAACAAGTAATAATATTACTCACCTAGTTCAGGGTTGTCAGGGTAGTATCTTGCCTTTGATTTGGATATAAATTCTTCCAACTCTACATCTGCAAAACATGACGAAGAAATAATAAGACAATTAAACCTTCCATTACTCAAAAAAACCCTCAAATTTTATTAATATCCTGAAAATGCTGTAATGATCCTCTCAGGGCACGGCTAACTCACAGATCGAATTGAGATTTAGCGTTTTCGTCGCCAAGAAAAAAGATAGTTGAAAAGGATGCCGAATTAATATTGACATCATCACATTCTAAAAATAATAAAAGGGTCCTGACATCTTGGATCTCTCCAACCCTCCTCGGGATCCGTCTTGCCTCACGACAAAAGATGAGGCAAATAAACTAGACTAACCTGTTCCTGTAAGTCCGTCTCCTGCACCTAAGGAAGAACGAAATGCGACTTTTACTAACACGAAGAAATAATAGAAATAATAAGTGGTAAGGGTGAAGATCGTCTTTTAAACGACTGACATTAGAATGATATACTCACTTCGAACACTGCTGTCCTCTGGTATTGACATGCCAGTAGCAGTACTATACGCTTCACTGGTAGGTCTACTAGTACCTACTGTACTACTGGGCATACTGCTGGAAGGTTCTGAGGTACTGGTGTTGCCGCCATCATCGTCATCATAATGATAAGGTGAACGTACTGGTTTTATTTCCCCAGGATGATAAGAACGTTTCTGGGACAAAAGAGACGCGGAACCAAATATTAACTATAATGCAGGTATATTTGATTAGATACCTTAGGATATGGGGAATTAAGTTCTGCGCATTTGGCAATGGGAAGACATGTATGAATATGTTATATAGTGCCGCATATACTTACAAAGTGTTGTATTGGTTTTGGTATTCCGTAGCTCTTGTCTCCGGTCTTCCAGCGAATATATGCGTTTTTAAACTCTTTGCGCACCTGTAACCCAAAGAGAACAGTATTACTTCAAGCGAAGAATCATGCCCGGATATGGACAAAACTGCTCAATAGCATACTTAACCAAGGTTGTATGGACGCAAGAAATATGTATGAGAAAACTAAGCTTAATATCATTTCACATACCTTTTTATCGAACAGACAGTAAAACAAGAAGATGAAAAGTCCCTGAAATAAAACGAAGATTTCGTTAACAGGCCATCGAAGGACTTTATATATCAATTCGTTCCTAACATATAGAATAGACCATCTCTCCCGCAGCCGCTACCAGTGTCGTCACGCGACGTGGTCGTCACGCGACAGTAGCTACTGAGGGGAGAAAGCATAGCGTGATGACACTGGTAGCACTGCGAGGGAGCCCACTCCACATCGCACGTTTGAGTAATAACAGGATATTTGGACTTGTTGATATTTCAAAAAATCTCCACTGTTTGCTATGTTTTCACTTCCGTGTTCAACGTCTTTGGATGCGCACACATATAAGTTTTCCCAGTTGGGGTAAAAAGGTACATTTCCTCATAAGAAATGAAATTCAAGACGTTTGTACCATAGCTAGATTATAATGTACCATGTTTCCCATACCTCCCATGCAAGGAAAATGTATTACTATGACAAAATAAAATCGTTTTCAAAGCTTTTTACCTGGAAGCAGGTGAGAGCAGCGAATGAATAATGAAACAGCTCGAGATCCCTGTTAACCATAAGTATGGCAAATACAAGAGACACGCCCAGTAAGGGCAGGAGGATAGCTGAAGCTCTCAGGCCAGCCCTAAAACAAGAGAAAATATATGTCAGAAAAGTTAATGGAATGGTGCATTCATGTACACCCCTGCATTATTTCATAGAGGAGTTATTCTGGGGGATAAAACAATAGCCCGTCTTATAGGAAAAAATCCATCATTTCGTCCGCCAGAACGTTCGCAAGAACAATTCCTCTCGGGACTCAGTGCAAGGGGTCTATAGACTCATTCAGTGTGGGCGGGAATCTTTCCTATTTCATACGATCTGTCATTTTACACTAAGTATTGATTCTTTATTTACTAGTAGCCCTTGTGAAGACAGGTGTATTGCATTATTTAATGGCGGTGACCGTATTTCTATGCAGTGATGCCTTACTTTAAACTGTACTCATCATGCCCGTGTGGGCTGTACGAGTGACGTCGACGTCGCTTCTTCTTGCTTCGGTTCATCGACATGTAGACTGCCATCAGGAACACCACAGTATTTATCTAAAGAAAGCAACATGCATTTAACTGCGCATAAAGGTATCATTGTTACATCATCATTAGTATGTATAATTGGTGTGTCAAAAGTTCGACCAGGAGTAAGATATTTGAAGTGATGCTGGTCTCCGGGACAAAATGCCTTTTTCCATCACCTCCAGAGGATAATCCAAGCTGAGGTGTTGGATGTTCCACTTTGAATAAGATATTTAAATTTCTGCTGGTATCCGGGACAAAATGTCTTTCCATCATCCCCAGAGCATAATCTAGACTGAGGTGTTGGATGTTCGACTCTGAATAAGATATTTAAATTTCTGCTGGTATCCGGGACAAAATGTCTTTCCATCATCCCCAGAGGATAATCCAGACTGAGGTGTTGAATGTTCGACTCTGAATAAGATATTTGAAGTGATGCTGGTCTCCGGGACAAAATGCCTTTCCATCACTTCCAGAGGTTCATCCAGACTGAGGTGTTGAATGTTCGAGTCTGAATAAGATATTTCAAGTGATGCTGGTCTCAGGGACAAAATGCCTTTACATCACTTCCAGAGGATAATCCAAGTTGAGGTGTTAAATGTTCGAGTCTGAATAATATTTACTTACTGCGACTACAATCATGACAGGAATAGTAAATGTCCATATTAAGGCACCATCTGTTGACATCCAACAACTGAAAAGAGAAATTTAAAACGCATGTTTTAGTAAGACTTGGTGAAAGCAGAAGAGTTTTCTACCTATTTATTAGACTTACAAGTGCTTACTGCCATAGCCGTCTGTAGAGAGTCCAGCAGATATACCCACAACAATGGCAGGACATCCTGGAAAAAAGCAGCAACAACACAAAGTTAGTATTTAGGTATGTCTTTTTTTAATTTTTATTCTTTAGATATATTTTATTTTAATTCTTCATATTTGTTCAAATACATTAACCCGCGCTCATCTAGGGGGTCTACGCAATTAGGAATGTCAGTAAATGAGATGAAACTCATGATATATCATAACATGTCATGGAGTATTTATTACAAGGTATGTGCTCGAACAGTGAGTCTTGTGCCAAGTGCATCCATGTTGTGGCAAGCAAGGTAAATACACAGCTACAATAAGTAAATGATAGTTACAATAAATACATAGCTACAATGCGTAATGTAATTTATTGGGCGCAAAGGAGGGTCAAAAACTACTTACCCCACCCAAGGAAGTAGTAAAAGTTCATCCTTCCGATATCGACGTTTCTCTTTTCACTAAGTCTTCTATACATATGAACGCCTTCTACTAACATCCACGTGAAAACGGTAGAGAAGAAATAGTGAAGCAAGATTGCTATGATACGACACGCCATCTGAGGAGCCAGAAAAAAAGAAAGAAAATGAGTGATAAAAGAGTCGATAAATATCATAATAATAAATATAAATAAATATCAACTTGATTAATAATAAAAAAATAACTATTAAGACTTTTAAATTGATTTAAACACATTGCCTTAAAATTAAACACAACCTACTGTGTATGTAACCGTACTCAAGGGAAATAGAATGAGAATGCAAAATCACGACAGGCGCGTGTCCCCGGCAAAGACCCCTTACAAAATTGTGCCTTAAGTCATGTGCAACATTTGTCTACTCCAATCGCTGGTTGGAAAACAAACTGACCTCATCTTCGGTACGATTTATGCCAGCCAAAAACACGACCTCGGCAAGAACTATTGAGGCCACTAGATTCTTGTGAATGTCATTGGCGTTACTCTTCTTTAGTCCCCTATAAAGAACATAAACAATTATCAACGAAAGGTCAAAATCACAATTATATAACATACTAATATCCGAAGAAGCTCAATTTCGGTCCTCTATTTATTTGTATTCTTCGGTATTTTCGGCGTGACACAGACCAATGCCTTCGGAAACGGTAACCCCTCAATAAAGGCCAGGAGATCGTAGCACAGATTATTCAGAAAAAATTCGTTTGCTTGCAGAAAGAAGTAAACTGATACTCGCTAAAAGACACAACTGGAAGACAAAAGCATCTAAAACTGAAATAAAACCGCAAACGTACCTCAGGCACATGAAGGAGATAAAGGCAACCAATAGAATAGCAATACAAACAGCGATGCCAATGTAAGTAACGATACGCATAGCAAAAGCCACTTGTGGAGGGTACTGCGAAGGAAAAAAAAGACAGATAAGTTCAGTTAATTAAATCTTAAGAATAAGACTCTTCAGGGTTGATGATCTTCAAGAATCATCTAGACTAAACCAAGAGTGTGAGGGAGGGTTTCCACTTTCCTATCTAACCTGACTAATTCTGTCCCCCTTTGGGGAGGAAAAAAGAGGGCGCAATAAGAATTAGGAAGAAGCACTCCCCTTTCACCCTTGCCTAACCCGATCTATTTTCTGTCATAGTGGCTGGTAATATTACATTTTAATACCTCAAGATTAAGGTCTGAGAGTACAGCAAACGAAGTCATGTGATAACAGGCGCAGGTCGTGTGAGTCCAGTTAACAGCAACTCTTCTACAGCCATTGGTTGACCAGCCACCTCCTCTAGTGTTACTGTAACATCAATCCAAAACATGTTAAATTTCTGACAATCAGTTAGAGCCAACACAATATACTAAGGGTTCAAAGCATCTAAGCTTTTTGACCACTATGTAGACAAAGAATAACATTCACAAGGCTCCCGCGAGATATAATTTGGAATGACTTAGTGATTTATTGCGGCCTCTTTCTTCACCTATGATCCGTTACCTAAGTACTAAAAATCCACGCATTTACACCAGCACGGAGTCAAGGATATAGAAAACATTTCTATTAAATTCTCATACTCATTAATAATTCATGAGTAAACCAGCCAATCAATGGGCTATGTTTTGGGTCACATGATGTTACTTGAAACCTGGTAAAGTCCTGAGAAAGGACTGAATTAATTTTGTTCAAGTCCTTGGACTGGATCAAAATTAATTCAGTTCAGGGACATATCTGTCCCTTAAGTCTTTCAATCCTAAACAAATAACGTCCCGAATTATCAATGAGTATGAGAAGTCATTTCAAAGCCTCCAAATCGGACTGGACGGGATTTCAAGTCCGCGCAATTAGTTCCAGTCTTCGGCGCGCGGACTTGAAATCCCGTCCAGTCCATTGTCGGCTTTGAAATATTACTTAAAATGTTATTAATGTACTTACGGCACTGAGTAATTCCAAAACACACAGATGTACTCAGAACGATTCACCTAAAAAATATAAATAGTGGCAACATCAAACACGCTGCAATAATGGTGAGTTGTGTTTGAAGAGAATATTTGGAATAGAAAATAAACCTATTGCACACAGTATAGCAACGGAGCGGCTGATTCAGAAATTGACTAAAAATATTCATCTTTTTAAATCCAAGGGAATTCTTTTAAAGTAAAACGTTTTTTCACTAATACAAGACGAAAACTCGATCTCCACTGCAGTTCTTGAGAAAGTGGTTGCTGACTTACGTGTCGGTTTAAGAAAGTTATCTTTATTGGATCCACCAACTGCACATCTTCCATGCCTGGCATTCTGACGGATACTACATCTGAGTTCACTTCCACATTGTATTTACTGTCGCTGAAGGGAATGATTGGGTATTAGATGGTTTAGTAGCTATAAGACGGATATGCTTTGTACACAATGATGAATGTAAAGAGATATGTATTCGCATCACCAAAATCATCATCACCATCACCATCATCATGCCCATCTTCATCAACACCACCACCACCACCATCATCGTCATCCTCCGCATCATCATTATCATCATCATCATCCACATCGTGACAATTATCATCATTATTATCATTATCATCACCATCTTCCTCCTCGTCATCATCATTATCTACTTCGTGAACATTATCATCATTATCTACTTCGTGAACATTATCATCATCATTATCATCCTCCTCCTCCTCCTCATTATTCACTTCGTGAAAATTATCATCATCATTATTATTATCATCATCATCATCATCAGTTTCACCATCTGCATCACTACCACCATCATCACTATCATATAATATTCACTATAATCACCATCACCATTATCTAAATCATCATCATCAACATTACCACTATCACCATCACCAGCAAGAAAGCAAAATGTCTTACCTGATTTTAGCATCAAAGGACTTCGGCAAAAGGTCCCCAATGTTACGAATGACCATGTAACCAACAGCAGCATTTCGTTCCAATACTAAAAACATAGTAAAAACCAGGTTTCGATGAATAATAACAAATAAAAAAATATCAACGTAACAACAGTGCCAAAGCAGTTGAGCCCTTATRAAGAGGGGTACATATTCCGCAATCCACTGCTATTACAAAATGCGACCATTTTTATTATCTCTGATGTATAGCTATAATGTAGTTACGTCAAAATCATTTTCCTAATTATAAACTGTAGACCTTTTTCTCAGGGGTGAGCGCGCTTATCTAGATGTAAGAAAACATTTTCAAGTCACGAAGCAAGAAAGGAGCGGGTCTCTTCAAATGAAAATAAGCTAAAAAATTGTTTTAAAAATAATTTTCAATCAAAGTGTTTCGAAAGTAAGTTTTTCGTTCAAAAGAAACGAATATCGTTGTTGATTTTGTGGTCCATCAAGTTGAATGCCTATACAACCTTTAGAAAGCGTTTTTACAACCATTGTCTCACTAAGATTACAAGTCAATGAAAAAGAGTTTCCTATTTTGGCATTGACTGTTATTTGTTAGTATGTACAAGGGAAGCAATGCTATAGATAGAAATGACAGTTAGTAGTCTATCAAGAGACATTTACGGGTTTTACCTTTATGTCCTGGTGCTGTAAAGAGAGTACTTGGCAACATGACTCTGGTACTAACAATCGACCAATCTTTAGAGTAAGCTGCGAAGGTAGTTTGACTGGGTGGAAACAACGTGGTTTCAAAATTCTTTATCATGACTGGATCCAGCTCCATCACTGCAATAACAAAGCAGTCAAAAATTGAAAGATCTGGTGAGATCTTGTATTAATCAAATCTAAAAAATAGCCTTCAGTGATGGGCAAATACTACCACATGCTCAATCATCGATTACTGAAGGTGACAATCAGGTGAACAAGATACTTACATATGTTAGGCGTAAGTACTGTGTAAGGAGGTATTATACTGCCTGTGCTTCGTCTGTAGCGGCCTCTTTTTAGGTGTGCTAGGTTATTAGCAAGCGTACCACTGAAGTTCTCCATCTTAAGCATCAAGTCAGCTGTGCCTGCAGAATTCTAATCAGAAAAGAATGATAAATGAGTACACTGGCTTGAAGCAGCACAAAAATATTAAAAACAACGATAAATAGAATGAATAGAATAAATAAAAAACTGAATCATTTTACGGAACAACTTGTCACACTCGCGTGTGGAGCGAACCTCAACGGAAGAGCCCTTTATTACGAGAAGTGATGGTTGTAAAAGATGTAAAATTAAAAAATAAAATAAATAAAAACCTTAAAAACCCTTTTGCTTTGTTCTTTTTGCTATTGATCACTGGGGGAAATTTAGGTGAAACGCCAATAAACCGTAATCAAACATCTCAGCTGTACATTTTTAATAATGAGAATATTAATATAAAATGAAGAAAAAGCTTGATCTTTTTACGGGATAAAGTTATTACGGTATAAGTTTTGGTGTTTGAAAGCCTAGTTTCTTCATCTAATATAAGGAACAGTTCGTTGACTGTCTCATCTTCCTACTAGACTCAAGGGCTTCAAATGCCGTTTTTCATACAAGAGAGCATGTACATCAATGTAATGATAATAACATGTTGTTTCTACTTATTTTAATATACTAAGCCGGTTCTCATAGGATCCCTTACGAATCAATTAATCTTCACAAAATTACTGATTAATTTTCTTCCCTCGCTCTCAAACATCTGCTACATATCATATGCTCCAGAAAGAAATGTAATCGTTGATGCTGAGAAAAGCAATGGCTCTCTCTTGTTCGAGCGATATGGAAATCGAAATCCTATATTCTACCAGAATCTTTGGTGTTATCGTTTGCACCACTTCAGCCATTCCGATCATATTGCTAAACGCTTTGGTCCTTATTGCCGTATGGAAAACCCCTGCCCTTCACAAACCATCACAAATCCTCCTGGCAAACCTTGCCTTGACAGATCTTTTGGTTGGTGTTTTTGCATGCCCTTACATGGCATATCTCCCCCTTGCCATCATCAACAAATGGTATACATTCTTTTGCTATTTCTTCAAGATTTTTTTAGGTCTCATTTACATCCTCGCTGGAATGAGTCTTTACACTTTAGATATTATTAGTATTGACCGATTTCTGGCTGTCAAGCTCAAGTTAACCTATGGAACAGTTGTCACCAACAAACGTCTCATCATTGCTTTATCGTTTGGTTGGCTCGTCAGTGCCATTTTATACGTTTTCGCTATTCTGTTTTTTGAAACCATTCCATGGAGTGTAGTATCATTATTTCTTGCCGTGTATATTGCTGTGTTTCTATGCACGACCACAATATTTTACTCAATGGCCTTTTACCAGTTAAAGAAATTGTCTTCACAAGTGTCTACAAGCGACCCCAACGACCCTGGTCCCAATGCAACGCCAACCTTTGATGTCAACAAATATCGACGATCTTTGCACACCATGATTGTTGTTCTTCTCGCACTCTTTATTTTCTTTTTGCCACATTGTTGTACTGCAGCTATACGAAGTGCTTTCCCAAGTTAGATTATTAAACAATTGAGTATTCTTACAGGACTTTTTTCGGTCTTTAATTCTTGTGTTAATCCCCTTCTATACTTATGGCGAATGAAAGACCTTAGACAAGCTGTTAAAACTACAGTAAGAGGATTTTTGAGACTTTAGTCTTAATAGGCAGCTTGACGGCTGTTATCTACAACTTAATAAGGAACATCCAGTGATTAACCACACCGCGGATATCATCATCATCTGCACTGACAAATCCTGTAAAAAATATATCTACAGCTGAGAGTATGTCGTCCACATATGTTTAGGTGCATTCTATCTAGCGTGATAGTAATCAATCAATCAGTCAATCAATCAATACTTTAGTTGCTTAATCAAATATAAATAAACTATTACTACTAAATATATCGGCAGCCTAAGCCCGATTTGGACCTGCTGGAAATACTAAGAGTTAAAAATAAATATCTAGTAATAAAAAACTAATCTAAATAATATAATCTAAGAATTTAAACCTTACAAATACGAATAAGAATAAATAAATAACTAAAAAATAAAATTTATTATGATAAATAAATAATAGATAGTAAATAACATCCTAATAAGATTTTAACTACAAACTCGTTTCTTCGTTGCCAGATTGACAAATAGATTAAGAATAACGAAATGATTGAAAATAATGTATTTAGTCGTTTAAGCGCCCCCCCCCCCCCCCCTAATAAACGCCGCCCAACAGGATAAAACAAGAGCGAGTGCTTCCTGTATTTCTATGTGATTCAGCTTTTCAAATGTAACGTTGTCTTCAATCGTTTCTTTTAAAGTAGCGTTCACGTATATTTGCCGTTTTGATAGGAGAAAATGAATAGCAATCAAGATCTTATGGAAAATTTAACGCAGTTGTTCTGGTTTTTCATGCGATACCATCTCGTATTCGTTATGTCAATCAGCGCGCGCATTTACGATAATCTATAACCGTGATTGGATGATTTATATGATCAATCTACTGCTTACACGGCCCAGTGGGAAAAAAGTTTCGAAACCTTTGTAGCGATTTCAGTCTACGCATCATTCCCCATTAAAATGTTCTGATTGAATTTGTAGTTGTTGACGTCATACCTCGTGCCATGATGGATGACTTAAAGTGCTTATAACCCTTTAAACAATATTTTCAGAATCGATTCTTTAAAATTACATAGTGAATAGTTGAGTGTGAAAATATTTCGTCATTTGAGGGTGGGGTCTTTAAGATACAAAGGTTTATATTCCCAAAATGTTAATGACTATGACGTACCATAAGGCATCATTTATTAATATACAGCACTGCTCTCGTTCTGGAATACAGTATTTTAAAAGCATCACCCTTTTACTTGTGACATACAAAGGTTCCTGCAAATTTGTTATCAAAAAATGCCCAGCGTTCAATATTAAAAGTTACCACAAAATAACTCAATTCCTTTATGTTACGTCATAGTCATTAACATATTGGATATAAAAATCTTAATAACTTAAATACCCCCATTCACACCAAGGCTTAAACATGTTTAAAAGTGGTTTAACTAAACAGGTTTGGAAAACTATCTACGAACCCTGCGCAATAGTTGGTGAAATAATGCATGTAAACTATTCTTTGTCTTGCTCTGACAATATTTTAGAAAGTTTCATTATTTTGTAGGTTTCTAGTTTCTCAATTTTTTCCTAATGAAAACATAGTTTAACTAAACACGTTTAGGCGTGAATGGGGTAAAAGACTCGACACTCAAGTGTTCTATTCACTATTCACTACCTAAAGATTAATCCCGAAATTATTGTGTAAAGGCTCAAAAGCACTTTAAATAACGGATTTCTTTTTCCCTGCTGTCAACCAACATGGCGGGCATGCATTTTGTACTTTTATTCTCATGGGAAAGGATGCAACCTGCCACCCATCCGGTTTCAAAGCAAACTTTTTTTGATCCCTTATACGGGTTATTCATAAACAAGTAAAAACTAGCGAAAGAAACCGACGTTTGTACTATTTTTACATACATTTAAGAAGCGTTGTTAAAAGAATACTTTGGCACGGACGGAGTTATGGTTATTGCTCTAAGGAATAATTTAGCATAGACGTGACTCGTACAAAGACTGTTCACACTGAAAAATTAATCAGACTAAAATATGAGTTTTTTATGCGAGGCATTGTCGCGGACGGAGTTATGGCTATTGATCTAAAAAAATAACTTAGTATAGA